TTTTCCCATTTTCAAAAAATGTTTCAGCACTAGTCAATGTTTCAAGTCCTCAGATATTTTATACTTCTCAATTCATCCATTCCTCTTCAATACTCACACATATATTTCCATCCAGGACAGGTGCACAGTTCTCTCACATATTACTCAGTCAAAATATTCAGCATTTGGTGATAAGCCAAAGAGACTACTTTTTTTGTTGTTTGTCTGTTTGTTTCCAGAGGGAACCCCATAGTTTTCTTTTGCTAGAGAATAGGAATGAAAAGAGAATCCCAAAAATTCTCTTCCCATTAGCTCTGTGCTTGAAATATTATTAACACTTTCATTTTCTCACTCCTACTCTCACCATTTGAATCTGGGTCATAACAGCATGCCTACCCTTCAGTACCCTGAGTGGGTGGTTGTTTTGGCTGGAACTAAGGCATACTTGCTTTGTGACACAGAGTGCCCTTATGGTGACACATACCTGTCCTTTTCAGTTACTTTTGATACATTATATATATATATATATATTTAAATAATCTTCTTTATTATAAAAATAGACTAGAGAGTAGAATTCATGTTATTCAGTATTCATATTGTTTTAACAATGTGTGAAAGGAAAATGTATGAAATACTGTCGTCTGTTCTTTTCACAAAACTGGATTATTCCCCTATAGCATCTTTTCTTTTCCCATACCAAATTGCACCTTTTCCTTAGTAAAACACTTTGATACATGCTCTAACCTCAAATACTACAGCACGTGACTGAAGTCTCAGGTTCAGTCTCTAGTACTTAATTCTAAAGATCCAAAATGAAGAATCTGCAGAGCTACAATTAAACTACAGTAGATATTAAATTCACTTAGTGCCAGGCTGCTTTTTAAAGAGAGTCAGACCTCTAAGAACTCTTGCATGAAAGAACAAGAGGGACCAAAAGAGACATGTAAAAGAAGCCAATTCTTCAAATTTCCCTGCTAGCTGAAAAACAAAGTCAAGAGCTGGTACATAAAAGGCTTAAATGATGCACAGCAGAATGGGAGTGACACCTGTAGATTTATGCCTTTCCAAGCGAGGTCTCCTATTGACTCTGCATGTGTCTTGTTGCAGTGCTTCTTTTTGTCCTGTTTGAAAGACGGAAAGACTCTGTGGCAAATTATTCTGGACTTCTAGAAAAGGTGCAAAGAGGAGAGATACTATTTTTCTGAACTAAAACATTTACCATTCTGAGTGTGATTCCAATGAAGATAAGGAAGATTGTTCTGCATGGTTTTGTTTTTCCCAGTTCTTAACTGAACATTAAATAATTGGCAAATATTCTAAACAGATGCTATTTTAAAAGTTCTATAAAATCAGTACCAGAAACCTGTTCAAAGTAGTTCACACCTATTTGTTCTTAGCTAACATACTGAGTAGAGGTAAATCACTTGTGTAGTTATACACAGTATTAAAACAATCCTAAAATTATATAAATATATGTATACTGTTTGCTTTTACTATTACTGCCACAAAGCAAATGCAGGATTTGCTACCTGGGTAATTAGCAAGAATTTGCAAGAATTTGCAAGCTGTAGAGAGAAATAATGCAGTGTTAGTTTTGTAATTTAGTGCACAGGACACATTTGTGCTAAAGCTCTGTAAACTGGGCCCGTGGTCAAAAGGAGCAATTAGCACTTTGTTAGTATGCAATGATGTACTAATCTACACAGTCCCCAAAAGCAATTGTCTATTCCTTTTGCCCTCATGTACAAATTTTCTACAGTATGTACTACTCTGCCCCTAAAATAGTCCATTACAGCACAGTTACTGTAAAAAAAAAAGGGTTTCCTGTGATTACAGTCTATGTATCAATTAGAATTTGTTTACTGGAAAAAACCCATGTTGTTCCATTAACCCCTTTATCTGTGCTGAGATAGCTGCATAGTTCTCTGAAAGTGTTAAACAGCTGTAATGTTCTATTAAAGAGTAAAAGGGGGTTAAATTTAGGTGACAGAATATTCCCATCTGAACACCCTCTAAAGGTTTTTCCTGTCTAAAAATAAACTGTTGTAAGCTGTGATCTCCAGACAAATAAGCCTGGTGCTAAAAATGGATGGATGGTAAAAATCGGAGAAAGTTATCGATAACACTGACAACTGTGAGAGGACTAAACCCTAATATTCTGTGAGTGTTCCACACCCCCCTCTTGTGGCTGCTACGTAAAGGATGTGAATCTATCAAGAGTACCACTTAAATTAACATTCAATATAGTTGGCCTTTGATAGTCACCAGAGATGGTCCACAGTGAGGGCTACAAAAATCAAGGAGATAAACAAGGCAGCACACTGCCGGAAATCTGAGTGTTAGAACCTTTTTGTTAAAGGCCTAGCTTCAAAGGCTATTTTCCAAAAATCAGGCTCATTATAAACTATCTCAGCTGTGGCACCCACAAGCCAAAACTTCAGCCGCTAACCATTTTGGAAAACCTTGGCAGTGCAATATGTGCCTACCCATTAATGGGGTACAGGCACCATCTCCACCCTATTTCAGTTGCTTAGAAGCAAGCTAATAATGCAGTTTCATATCTACCCAGGAAAACTCACAAGGTATCTACTACAGGGTCACAGTTTCCAAAAAGGGTATGGACACTGAGATGTTAGCTCCCTCAGACTAGTATTGAAATTTAATCCTCCTTTAAATTAAAGGAGAAAATAAAAAAGAGAGTTCTGTGAACTGACAATACAATCAGTAACTTCACAGAATAAACATTCATGGGGACCTTTAAATAAAAAGATATCCTTCAGAGTCACTGTCCACATAGCTGTCTTTGATATTATGCATGAAAAGCTCTTTGGCTTTTCAGACCATGAGAACAATGGGCACACTCTGGGATTTGACAGGAGGAAGGGAAGAACAGTGAAAAGGTTTATGTATAAATAAATATCATTACCTAAACTACTTGAAACACCACATAAACTAATATATTCCTTCTAACCTACTGAAAGAAATAAATTAGAGATTATGTTGGGATGAGGCTACTTAGATCAATTTTAACATATAGAGCACCCCAACATTACAAAATTTATTAATGGATCTGTTACACAGCAAAATAGTTCTACTAAGGTCATACCAACTACTTGTCCACCTCATTCAATTCCTTTTGCAAGCAGCAGCACCTGATTAATTTGATTTCCTCCATCTGTCTTTCTATTTCCCCAGTTCAGCACTCCAGGACACCACCTTTTGCAAAGAATGCTTTAAATTTAAATTGGAAAGATAATATAGTAGCTTGGATATTATCCAACAGGGCTAGGCATAGAGAAGATTTCTTTGCTTGTTTGCTCCTAAGCTGCAGAAAGCTATCTGAAATATTTGTAACAGTACCGAATTAGTTTTCAGTTACTTCATTTAGCTTTCATTGTCAATGAGTTTTGTAACAGAGCAGTGGTAGGTGAGGAGTAGATAATATGTTAACAAGAAGGCTGTTCCTGTCTCTACTTAGTGTCAGCACCTGCCATTTGGGATTCTCTCCAAAATTTGTGTTCCATTTGTGAGAATACTGAAAAACAGTGAAGAGACTTACTGAGAATTCTAGTTCTGCTTGTCTACATTTACTTGGCAAATTAATAAAGAAAAAGAAATGAACATACGGAACTGTAAGTTTTCAGATATGTTATCCACAGTAGACGGCAAGAAGATCCTGCCAAAGATTCAGCATTTGAACATGATGTTTAATATTCATGCAGCAAAATTTAAACTGATTATGTTCCAAAAATATTTTTTTTTAGATTTGACTTTGCTGAAAATAGTGAATTGCTCATATGCTTAATAAGTTTTTATTTAAATAAAATAACATATTTTAATATATGTTGCTATCATGCTGTTATAAATATTGGAAATGATTAACACTGGGAGAGTATTAAAAATTTAAACTGTTTCACCATCTGTGCTGTTTGTTTATTTTTCACATTTCATTCAACTTGGAAAGTGAAAATAGATTAATTTTTTTTCTCTTTCAGTCTTGTGTATTAGCATGATGATTCAGTGTCTCTGCTACAAACATTGCAGGGGTATATTTATCTCCAGACTGCCAAACCAAAGAATGCTGTTCTCATACAGTTAAAAATAAATAAATAAACAAATAAATAAATAAAACCCCAAATACAAATAACTTCACTTTACTAAAACAGTTACATGACAGGCTCATTGTTTCAGATTTTTATGTTTGTAACTTTTCCCAATATACTATAGGCAATCCTTGGTTTACACAGTTGGTGTATATCTGATGTACTTGACAAAAGCCTTTTCAAAAAAGTTTGTCAGCTAACCAGGACAAAGGATGCCTGAAGAGTGAAGATAAAGTCTTGTCTTCAATGAAGCACTCTATGTTACTTTTATGTGATGGATGGAAGACTAGTATGAATATTTTTTATAGCTCACCTTAATGCACTTCCCTCTTGATTGTTGTAATTTAAGAGCAATAAATCTAGCTGCAAAATCACTGAAGATGGAAACAAGTTTTAAGGTCCAGGTTTACTGCAGAGAAGAGTGGTTCCAGCTCTGCTATCCTGCTACAATTTTGCTTTTCAATTGGAATTTCTCAGAGGCATTCTTCCATATTAAAATAAAAATCTGAAAAACTGAATTCTGAAATGATGTTCTGTCTAACAAAGAGAGGTCATGTCCCAAGGCCATTTAATCCCTCAGAATCTGACAGAGGAGCAACTCCCCACTGAATCACTTAAATTATAGCATGAAAACCAAAAATAAATCTGTTTGATTAGCAGCAACAAACACTTTCTTTGTTCCATGTTCTCAAGCACAATGGCTAGAGATCAGTCATCTCTAAGTTGGAGTAGATTCCATGCATTCCTTATAAAATATTTCCAGAATCATGCCACAACCCTCCCACATTTATTGATTCCAAGCCTCCATTCAGTAGCAGAGATCTGAGCCTGTGATCTTTGTTTTTTTCTCAAAGTAAAACAAAATAAAACTGATTTCATATAATGCAAAACTTCAGATTGTTATCATTTTTTACTTACCTCTTGGTTACACTTCTCCTGGAAAATTTTCAGCAGCCATTCCACTGTAATTCACTCATTAGCTGCAGTGTTCTGAATTTCAACTGAACTTTTTAAGGCTATAGTAAAAGAGATGGAAAAAAGAGGAAAGTTAGGGTTCAAACCTCTTCTAAATGAATCACTTTTTTCTTGCCAATTTACTTTGTGTGGATCACACAGTGACCAGAGCAAGAAAAACACCATTCCACCTATGCTGCCCCAGAGTTACAGCACAGTGAATCAGGATAACAAGAAAGACCAAGAAATTTTTTAAAAAAAAAAGAAAAAAGAGGAAACAATTGTAATTTAGAAGGAACATTTGAAAACCTTTAAAAAGAGTGGCTCTGAATGTGATATAGAAATGAAGAACAGGTATAAACAAATTAGACTTGCCTTACATATGAATGTGACCACATAGATTTGTTTTATCCTTCCATTTGCCCTCAAATTTTGTTAAGAATTCTCTTACATGCTAATTGCCTGGGATTTGAAAGATCTGACACACAACATCCATGGTAGTCAGTTCCACTAATAGTTCTCCACTCTTCTTTTTCAAGTAAAAAATCACACTTTTCAGAGACACAATTTTCTTATTCATTTTCTCAGGGGGGATTAAAATTTTAAGTCCTTTATTCCTTAGCTTTGTTGAGTCTGGAATGGATTGTGAATGTGATACTGCAAATTGGCAGAAAGATATTATTTTGTCTGAATTTTTGAATCAGCCTCTCTAAAAGAGTCTAATCAAATCTGTCAGTCTTATGAAGACTGACATGGCCAACAAGTGTGCTGATGAAATGCAACCTGCCACACTTAGCAGCTCCTGCCACAAATGTAGTTGAAAACCTGGATTTTCTATTGATTCCAACTTGGTTTTGCTATAAGGTGACTTCTGTAGCTAGACTTCGTCAATATTTCTGTCAGAAATGTTACTGCATGTGTTGTTCATGTTCAATTTACAAAATGTTGAAGTGACAATGATGGGGTTATTTGAACATTTATTGTTGAACAGGGATCTGATTCAGAACTAAGATGTGCTTTACTGCAATTCATACTATAAAATGAGTGATTTTCATTTTCTTCTTCTCCATTGGTATGGCTTGCAAACACATACTCATTCCCTTGTTCCCTCTCTCCTCTCCATGAATATTGCACTTTTCCTGCTGCATTCAGCAGCATAGCTTATACCCAGATCACAGCTGGTAATTTCAGGGCACTGGGAAGATTCTGAATCCTCCACCCAAAACTAAGATAGATTTTTAAAAGAAATATGAGACTTAGGCAAGCAGGGGTTACTGACTTTAGGGGGAATGAACAGCTAACTCATTTCACCTCCAGTAGTAATCCAAGACTGAAATTTGGGAAATTTTTCTCCAGCAGTACCCAGTAGGGAGTTCTGTCTAAAGAGGGATGTCAGGACTGTATCTTTACAATACCATCCTTTGCTAAATCTGAATGGTATCTGACCAATTCGAAGGGCTTTGCTATATTACATTTCCTTAATGTAAGTAAGCAAGAACAAAGGAATAAAGTGGACAGAATAAGTTCAAAAAGAACAGTATCTCAGCAAGTATCTATGGGTATGAAGGCTATAGTAATAATATTAAATAGCTAAATGTTTCTTAATTAATCCAGTCAAGTACCTATTAAAAGAGAAAAAAAATAAAAAGGAAAAAGAAAAATCTCTCTTTTTTTTTTCCTCAGCTATGGTGGTGCAGCACCTGCCATTAACTGTGGTGGTTCCTATTTTCATATTGTCTGACAGTAGCAGTTGGACTGAGCCAGAGCCAGTGAGGCCGAGAGGCAGACTCCCTGCTTCCACAAAGCTGAATTTAATAAGATGAGAACAGTATGCCAAGATGGTGAACTCCCTCCCTAGCACTTATCATGACACTAGTCACTCAGCAGGGCCCTTATTGCAGCAGTAATCTGGGTGAGCCTGGCAGAGCATCCTGCTTACAAGTTCAATATAATAGAACAGCAGGGCACTGGAGGCCTGGCAGAAAAGCTTAGCAAAGTTAAAGCCTATTACACTATGCTTGAAAAAAATGGCTCTCAAAATATTATATGCCGAGCAAAGATGTGGACATTCCAAATGCAGTGACATACTAAGCCTCCTCTATAATGGTGCACTCATTAGTCTATAGACACAAGCAACATGGATTTAAAAGTCCATAACCTGAATGGAAATGGATATGCAAATTCATCCTTTCCTTCTGCTTGGCTTGAATTTAATAGGGAGGACTAGAGCATAATATATAGATAGGGAAAATGAAACTTGAATCTGCTCTGAGGTGCTTAAAGTTGTTGAAGTTAGAAAAATCCTGCTCTACATTTTATCTCTTTTATATTTTCATAAATAACAAAAATAATTTGGAAATAGTTATCCATCTCACTGGTATATACTGGGATGTGAACACGAAATCTTAACCCAGACAAGACCTGCGGCAAGGAAGCTGTATCAGACACATCTTTAATGTAGCAACACATGCCCACATGCCCAATAGCATTTGAATTAAAGAAGAATAAACATTTGAGTGTGAGCTGCTCGCAGTAGTATCATAAATCAGACTATATTTTCCATTGGATTACCACTTACATGATTGAACATTTTAAATCTATTTTATTCCTCTCTCCATTTTTAGCCTCAGTGGTGTCTATTACTGTATAGACTTGAAATTAATCAGGAATGTGCAGATACTAACTTGAAACATTTTCCTTAATTTGAATGGCATTTTGAAAAGAGAATTTTACCTCGTCAGAATTGCAAGCAAAGTCTTTTCATCTGGCCAACAGACCATAATGAGAAATTCCCCAGAAAAGGATTCTAAAATGATAAAACAGATAAAAAGAGATGGAAAAAGAAGAGGAAGGTGTATACTCCTCTGCAAAAACTTCACTTCTTGTGGGAAGATAAGTGTGTAGTCTGGCTATTTTTCAAAGTCATCAGGCCTTCTTTTGCCTAACATGACCCTTAAAGCCATATGACATGCCTTTGGGTTTTACCCTATACTGTATATTCACCAGAAGAGCACCAGAAGAGCTAGTGTTTCCTCTGGTTTCTGCACCATATACATGTATATATGTTTCCCATATACAATGGAATTGCATGTTTTTCCAGCTGGAAGGAACTTCAAGAGGTCTTCAGTCCAACACCCTGTTCAAAAAAGGATTAACACAGCATTCAGAAGATGTTGTTCGTGACTTTGTCCAGCTGGGGTCTTCAAAACCCCTAAGGATAGAGATTCCATAATTTTTTGGGGCCCCCCTTTCGATACTCAATTATTCTCACAGTGGAACAATCTTTCCTTATTTCCTATAAGCTATAACCTTCCCTATTGCAATTTATAGCTCTCATTCACCCACTGTGCTCCTTAGCAAAGAAATTGTGTTTTCGTTCTTAAAAAATACCTCTTAGGTATCAGAAAGCTACTACTAGATGCCCCACACCTTCTCTAAACCATCTTGCTTTCCAAAGAAGCACAGTCCCTTCAGGTTCTCCTGACAAGATGTGCTGCAGCCTCCTGACCATCTTGGTCAAGCTCTCTGCTAGACTTGCTGATATTTACCAGCATCTCCCTTGTGCTGGAAAGCCCAGAACCAAAGGCAGCCTTAAAAAGTGGCAGAGGGGAATAATCACGCTTGGATCTAGTGGCTACACTCCTGTTGAAATCTCCAAGTGCACTCACACTACTGCCCACCAGGACCCCCAGGTCCTTTACAGAATCTTTCAGCGCTAGAGCGGCAATCTGTATGAAGAAAGGTTGGTTATCTGATGACTTACTTGAGTTGCTTAAAGAAAACTTTATCTACTTCCCAATATTGACTACATGATTTGTAGCAGATTCCCACTACAGTGTTGCTTTCACCAGCCTTTCCTCTGATGATGACTCACAAGTCCTCAATCACCCTACCTACTGTTCTGCAGCAGAGCTCAATACATCCAAGCTGCCTCCTTGTATAGATAGCATTCCTCTTCCTTGTCCTTGCTGCCTGTTGTTCCCAAAGAACTTGTGTGTTCCTTACAGTGCAGAGATCCTGCCACATCTATTATTCTTACACTGCACCTTCGTTCTGCACCTGCACACAGAGATCCACCTCCTCCTGTTTGCTTCCCAGACTGTGTGCATTTGTGCACAAACACTTGAGGCAAACCTTCTTTTAACCTGTCTTATCCTTCCTGAGGGCTCTCTTGCTCCTGTCACCCTGTCCCATGTATTTACTGCCCCGACTGCTCTTCCCTCACTTATCTGCAAACTGTCATCACCATCCCCTGACATACCTGGTTTAAAGCCTGTTGGCAAAGATCATATGTGTGGATATTTTGGATACTCTAGGGCACCTCAAATGGAAAGTACTTGCATTTAGACAGTTAAATCCTGCCTTTAGTGTCTGAGTCCAAGACTTACAACTGCTTCTGTCTGGTCATGTCTATTTCTCATCTCATCCTTCCAGTCTGCACCATTTCATTGACCATTTAAACAGAGGAACAGACCTAGGTGTCCTTTATAAATGCAGAGAAATAATATTTTAGATGGAGATTTTAGGACTGCTTTTGTGAAAAGTCCTTCCTGTGTGAAAAAAAAAAATTGACTTATTTTAATCACCCAACATAATCTATCTAAGAGGTACTCAAGTTCAGTGCAAACATAGCAAAACCAGCTAAAATATTCCTACCTTAGCACAGGTAGGAACATCATTTGTCAGATGATATAAACACAGGAGGCAGCAGAATTTTAGGTAATATGCAGCCTGTAGTCAAGGTGCCTGAGTGTACTAATAGCCAAAATGGGCCTGGCCTGCCTCAACTGGAATCTCCACACACACCCACGAGTCTGGAAGATCTACTTAAGCTCAGTCCTGAGTGTTTGCTTCTTTCCTAAGTTTCTCTGGACGAGCGCTGGTTTTCAGCTCAGCTGCTGCTGTGCCCCTACCTGTCAATGTGTCCAGCTGACCCTATGAACTGTCTTCCCAGCTTGAACCTGGGGTCTGCCTGGCAATTGCTGCACCTGACTGACCTGCAGATTGACTTCCTGGCTTGACCTCAGACCTGCTTCATCATCATGAATTTACTTGGTGATTT